AGGAGGAACTTAACGGAGGACCGTGGGGGAGAAGAAGGGGGGAATAGGAGGGGAGAGGGAGAGAGTCAAACCATGAGAGACTCTTGAATGTTGAGAACAAACTGAGGACTGATGGGTATGGGGGAGAGGGGAAGGGGGGTGATGGGCATGGAGGAGGGCACTTGCGGGGATGAGCACTGGGTGTTAAATGGAAACCAACTTGACAATAAACTATTTTTTAAAAAAAGATTTACAAAGTGGTCTTCCCTAATGCACACACGACTTATATGCCTTCTGCAAAAGGGAGAAGAGCAAGGCTCAGAGAGGGGGACAGATTTGCTAAAATACAACAGTGACAATAGATGGAAATGAGCTAGGCTTCCAGTGCACATCCCATTGCACTTCATCGCCTCTAACACCCAGGAGGAAGGAGAGAAGGCCCCACCTAAGTGGTGCCTGAGGAGATCGCCCAAGGGCAACGATGTGTCTTGTCTCACCCTCTACTTTGTGAGTTTTCACTGCTTTGAGGACAGAGAGCCTTAGCTGTCTGGGGGCCCAGGGGGGCGAAAAAAGGCAATTCTCATTCACATCATTCATTACAAAAGCCAATTTGGGTAGTTTACACTTTCTCTCCTCTCCTTCTTCCCTTTCATCAAAGCAAACCCACACTCCATCCACTTTTTTACAAGATCACCATAATAACACCCTCTTCCTGTTTTCTTTCCAGCACATACCTCATCTATTCCTGATGATCATTTTAACCAGATTTCTTCTGCATAAAAAAGGGAGTAACCAACAGACTCCAAGGGGTGTGATTTCTCCTTCCTGCACCTTGTAGGAATGGTACTGCCCATGACCAGACCCCACTGTGTTGGTTTCCTAGGGCTGCCACAACAAATCACCACAAACTAGATGGCTTAAAACAACAGAAATGTGTTCTCCCACAGTTCAAGCCAGAAGTCCAAAATCAAGCTGTCAGCAGTGCCATACTCCCATCTAAGGCTCTAGGAGAGAATCCTTCATCACCTGCTCTTAAGTTTCTAGTAGGTCCTGACAATCCCTGGTATTCCTGAGCTTGAGGCTATATCACTCATCTCTGCCTCCACCTTCACATCATCTTCTTCTCTATGTGTCCTCTGCTTTTCTTGTAAGAACATCATCCATTGGATTTAGAGTCCACCCTAATTCAGTATGACCCTACCCTACCTTAACTAATCACATCTGCCCAGACCCTATTTCCAAATAAGGCCATATTCTGAGGTTTCAGATAGACATGAACTTTCAGAGGACACTTATTCAATCCCATACACCTATCTTCCATCTTTAAGATGTGTTAAATCCTATTTATTGTTTTCTTTAGAGTTTTTTGGTTTCTGCCTGTAGCACCTACAATCCTCCTCTTGATCACTTTGTTGGAAACCATTCTGAGGCATCTGCCTCCATTCCTCCTACCCTATTAAACCTCTCCAGACCCCACTTTAAAATGGGTGCCTGGACACCAAGTCAAGAAGGAAATAATAGTAAGTTGCCTAGGAGGATTCATTATTTCAAGTATCCATCTCTCCCCATCTACCCAAGAAGCAATGTGTGCTCATCTCACATTCAGTATTGCACTGGGGGCTAAGGGGTTCCTTCCCTCAAGGGGTTTAGTGCACATTAGAGAAGTGAGATACTGCACAGCTAGATGACCTTAGAAGGTGAAAGAATCAAATAGTGAAGGATGGGGTAGATGCACACAGATGGAGCAGCAAACGGCATGGGACAACCTGGGGAAAGGCACTAAGATACAAATAACCCTGGAGCCTTCTGGGGACTGTGAGCAGAACACATGTGACTACAGAATGGGCTTTGCTGAGAGTGGGATAGATCATTGATAAGATTGTGAAGATTACTGTGTGTAGATGTGTACCTGATCCTATAAGGCCTTCAGTCCAGGACAAGAGGACCCATTAATGGTTTCCAAGCAACTGGGGAGTTTGACTAAGTGGTGTTCAGGGAAGCCAGATCTAGCTGGGTGTGCATGATGGACTGGGAGGAGTAGAAAGTTGGCAAGGAAGCCCTGGCTGGGAGCCCAGTTAAGAAGACAGGCTCCAGGGCCAGAGCTTTATTCCTCCACTATCAGTGAATCCCCATCCATTGCAATAACCTTCTGTCAGACTCTACAATCAATACAGTCATCCTGACATGGCTGGGGATAGGGCACCTGGCTGGCCTCCAGCCCTCCCTTCCCATTAACATGATAAGTTGCAGAGGGCATGTCAGGCAGAGCTTTCAGTGAATTCCAGGAATGGAGATCCCCTTCGGACAAAATCCCTGAAGAGAAGCTCAGGAGTACTTTGAAAATCAACATGCAAACATCTCTTATAGACAATGGTCTGACCAGAGAGGACAGAATCACCATCTCAGCTCAGATCTTATTTCTTCCCACTGTTGTACTTCCCTAGGACTGGTGCTAGCATCCAGGAGGTAACAATGTGACCTGAGCTCAGGTACTACTTTGCAGGAGAGGATATCATATAGGTGATTATCATCTGTGATTAGATTGGGAGCTTCCTAAGAAGGGTGGACTGTCTTCCCCATAAGGCTCCCGTCATCAGGGCCCTACCTGTCACCAGACACAAAGACCAGGGGAGGCTCTAACACACCCCCATATTTTCTGTCCTCCTCATTCGCACACAAACTCCTCTGCTTAGCACCTTAAGAAGCAGAGGGAGAAATGGAGGTGACATGGAAGGGGCAGGAGCAAACCAGAATATGGTGGGCAGAATAATTTCTTAAGTCCACAAGGTACATCTCTGAGCCTCTTTTCTTGTCTCAGGCTTTCCTGGAGAAATATAAGCAGAAGAAGGGAGATCCAGTGATCAGGAGGATGGTTGACCCCTTTGGCTTCCTTTCTCCTTAAGAAAAGCTTTGTATACCATCATGGGAGGCTTCCACTGGCCCCATATCCACCACCATCCTTGCCAGGCTGTAGACCAGCCCAGAGCAACAGGCATCAGGAAAGAGCTGTAGAGGGTGGTTGCAGGGGAAAGGGGCAGGCATAGAATTTCCTGAATGCAGCTAAGGTGCTAGGGGAGAAAAGGCACATGTTCCACTTCCACCTGCTATTAAACTGGAAGTTTGAGCTTTGCTAGAAGTAGATGATAC